ATTTGATACCTTTCATTACTATTTTTAAATGTATTTTAGTTATATAATAATTTTAAACAATTTAACTAATGTTTCAAATAAAGTTTTATACAAAACTTTTGATTTCCAATCAAATACAGATTCTGTAACATTAGTTTTGTTTGAAAGAGATTTCATTAAAATTAACTTTGTGTAGTTTTTTATTTGTCATTTATTTTAATTGTTTTTTGTAGAAGTTTTTGTGATTACAATATTTTAATTAATTTGAGAAAAATATTTTTAATTAAAAATTAATTTAAATTCTTTAAATACCTTAAACGCAACTGCATTTATCAATTAATCTTACCAAATAAAAGTTTTACATAAGTTCAATTAAAAATTGTCTCTAATTCCTTTAAATATAATTGATAATTAAAATAACATTAAACTGAATGCTGTTATAAGATATGATACCATAGTAAAGAGCCTTTCATTTAAGCTGTTGGAGTAGAAAACATTGTCTAACCTTGTTGTCTACATTTTTGAGAAAGTATGTGTTAATATATCCTGTATTTTTGTACTCAAATAATTTCTTAATGATTTTGTATGAAACAATTTTACACAATTAAACTACTGTAGTATTTATTATGCCTTTTTACAATAAATCCTAAACAGTGAATATGTGGGCGAAGTAATGAAGTAATTAATAAAACAGAAAACATTGTCTTTTAAGACGGATATAAAAAGATTAACTCAGCACCTACCTACTATTGAGTGGAAACTGAATGTGCAAAATCACAAAAAGTATACCGTAATAGGTTTTCGCATTTCGTTGCGTATGGCTATTGGAAAATACTTAAATGTGCGCAAGCTAAACTCATCAATTATCTATTTGAAGATTCTGTTACGTTTGTACGCACTTTGATATATTATATAATAATAGGCCATATAGATACTTGGCCTTTTTAAAGTATATTTTTAGTGTTGACTTAAAACCTTTGCAGTGAATTACTTGAACAACATAAGATTTGATATATTTTTAAAGCTTTTGTTATAAACCTTTAATCCACTACAAACTATCGTCTAAATCCTAATTTGAACCTTTTATAGTTAATGTTTTATTGAACTAATAAATATTTTTACTTTTAAATCAATTTGAATTAAAATGAAATTTTTATACAAGAATAAATGCATGTGTAATGATTAATACTGCCAAGGGTGGTAATATTGGTAGAATTGTATAGTGTTTACAATATTCTGTATTACAATTTATTAGAATAGAGCAATAATGTGTCTAAAACAGAGTTTAATATAAAACTTTGTAATAGTAATGTATCATTAAAAATAATGAGGTCTATTCTGTAATGAGGTCTATCATAATGACTGCAGTATTAATCAAAGAAATGTTTTTGTGTCGTAAATTAGTCCATCTATACTTATATTATATGCTATATTAATATAACTCTATAATGCAAGTTATAACTCTACAGTTATAATAAAAGTTTTATTTAGAAACAATTTTACAAGTTTTAGAAAGCTATAATAAATTTCAGTTTAATTATAAATACAAATGTTTATATATTAATATAACTCTATAATGCAAGTTATAACTCTACAGTTATAATAAAAGTTTTATTTAGAAACAATTTTACAAGTTTTAGAAAGCTATAATAAATTTCAGTTTAATTATAAATACAAATGTTTATGTATTTCATAATAATAAAATAGACCAGTTAATTTTAAAACACATCTCTTGTAGAAAGTAATATTCAATTTTTATTAAATAGACAATTCTGGAGTCGGTTCAAAGCATATGAATCCTAAACTTAAGTGACATAAAGATTGTATACAATTTGACGCAAAAACACATTCATTGTGTACATTTAAAAATAGGTACTGTATACCTGTATATATTTTGTGATAAAACTTATAAAAACATGTAAATTATATAAGAATTAAAAAGAAGTCACATTTTGTGGTATTTTATTTGTTGAATTGAAAAACATGTGGAAAAAGTGTTTATAACTCGTGATTTCGTATGAATCGATTGCCTTCAGAGTGTTTACCGGTATATTTGTGCCGTAGTTTTCCATACGCCCCTGAGTTTAACAAATTGTTATTCTTATAATTTTCTTATAAAATTTATGACCACTATGCTAATATAAACAAACCTTGGTGACTTCCACTTGAATTAGTATCACTTGGAAGGGGAGTAAATATCTCGCGGGCAACTCGTCTCTCTTGATTTTCGTCAAACTGTAAGCAATTAATTAAGAAAATTGTATAATTAATGACTGATCTGTTTGTATGAATCAATTGTGGTTCAAATGATTACCAGCTGACCATCGGGTCTAATTGTCTTCAAGTATTGACCCCTTTGGTTGGCATCCCTTCTCTCTTCAGCGGTCACTTTAGTTGAGTCCAGAAATTTCAAATGAGGCAATCGGTAGATGACATACCGGCGATACCTCTTGTAGTCATCCTCGTCGTTGTCGGTGTGGGACAACTGGTCAGGACAGGCGCTGTTCCCCAATAAGCTCAAGAACCTGAGGTTTGGACACATTTTGGATAAATGATCCAATAGTTTGTTGAGATCTGCTAACTGAGCCAGTACAGTATTCATGAATATGACATTAATTTGCACACAAATATTGAATTCAATGAATACCTTATTCTTATTGAGCGAAAGGGTGTGAAGCAATGGATTGAATGAGAATTGGATGCTATCGTTGAGCAGATTATTGTCGAGAATCAGTTCCTCAAGACTTGTGAACTTTTCGATGCCATCCAATGTGTCGATTATATTAAAACTTAAATCCAGTTTTACAGCATTTGGCGAATATATTTTGGCGATAATGGCCGGGATTTGTCGCACATCCTGTCCTATATATGATAACTATTTCAAAGTAAATATTTTATTATTAATATTAGACTAAACATATTAATATACTTTTTATGACAATTTATAGTATTAATAATTAAAATAATTGCAATTCAGTAACTATTGATTATTAGGCAAACTATTATAAATGAATTACAATATTATTAATGAGCATGGTGTGCTCGGGAACATTACCTCATTGTTATTCCATACCAAACCATTGCATTCATTTGAATTATGGCCTAAAGCACCCGATAAATACATTTCCGATTTAATCTATAACATTAAGCATCCATTTTTTGAAAACAATATTAAGTTATTTATTTATTTATATTAAGGGCGCAAACATTGATAATCTTCTCAATAATGATAAGAGTTGTCATTAGAGACGATTTAATACAATCAATTTATTGTCACTATTTAATTTGTATTTAGTGAAAATATTTACAGTAGTCTTATTGCATGTTATATTAACTAACTATTGTGTATATGACTAATTTGTGTCCGCCGGACATGGAGGTTACTTATGAAATATCTGATCAACTGTTTTCAATAGTTATTAATCACTTACTTGATTCTGTCAACTTGAAAAATAAAATTACATAAAAATCTTATATTTATTATAAACTTCCTGTTCCCCTTAGACTGCATTTCCAAACTGATCATCATTTTGTTTATTTGTCTCTATTTTTACAAAAACTCACTTTCCTTGAGATACAAGACATTCGTTGAGCAGTTGATCATATTATCCATGAATTGATTCATTCATAAAATTTTGTCAAATAGTTGATCGTATATATCATATGTCTAGCAATTTATAATTTATTCATCATTTCGTAAACACATTAAATAAATGTCGTTAATATAAAAAGTAATTATAATAAACGAGCCTGTTTCAATTATACAATGTCAATATCACCGTAATACATAAATTAGCATACTTTTGGCACCATTTGATAAATATTGCAAACATTAGAAACAATCAGTAATTAAATGAAACATAAAAAGGAAATAAAAATTCATGATTTCATGAATTCAGTGCCGTCTGCGGCCAGCCTTCAAACTCCTGCCGAGAATATCATTGGATTTGACATAACAGGCACAACACGAGGGGAACTTGAATTT